CCGTGCAGTGGAGGCGAACGGGACTGCCTACGCGCTAGGCGCTCGGGGACGCCGTGAGGTAGGCAGTCGCACCGTACAGCGGCTGCGAACGGGACTGCCCATGGACCTGGCACACCGCTGTTTAACCGCTTCGACTGCTTCTAGGGGTGTCTCAAACCCACGCACGCTGTCAAATATTACCAGCTAGCTACGGCGGAGCACTAGAATGTGTCGCTTGGACGTAGCCTCGGTCGCGAATAGAAAGAAGTAGTGACTTTACGCTCTGTTAACGTTCACTCCGTCTGTCGCATCGGACAAACAGGTGGAGGCGCACATCTCATCCATGAACCGTGGCGACTGCTTCATCCTGGACGCCAACCACGACATCTACGTGTACGTGGGCAAGGGCGCCAAGCGCATGGAGCGCATCCGGGCCATCAGCGCGGCCAACATGATCCGCGACCAGGACCACGGCGGCCGCTCCCGGGTGCACATCGTCGGTGAGTTGGCCCTAGCGTCGGTGGCTCCATCGTTTAATGCTGCGTTGGTTCTCATTTGTCGATTCTTTAACCCCGCTCCAGACGAGTTCAGCGACCAGGGCGAGGTGGACATTTTCTTCGAGAAGCTCGGCTCTGGCTCTGCCGAGGAGGTGGCCGACGAGGAGTCGGGTGGCGAGGACGAGGAGTTTGAGATCAACGAACAGGTACGCGGCAGGGCGAATTCTTTTTGAGCTTGAATGACAAAAAAAAGAGGAACAGGCGTGAACAACACCGACTCGTCTTGTCTTTCCAGGAGGAGATCACGCTGTTCAAGGTGTGGGAGGACCAGAGCGAACGGGTGAACGTAGCGAAGGTGGCGCAGTACCCTTTCAAGCACGGGCAGCTGGACAGCAACGTGAGTGTATGTCTGGAATTACTCTTTTCCTTATCTCCGCGCTACGCGGGGCAGAAACAACACAGGTGAAGGTTGACACATATGCACAAGCTTGAGCACCACCCCAGTCCGAGCAGCAGAGCAGAGGAAAGATGACATAGCTTAAGAGGCTCTCTGGCTTTCGCAGGATTGCTTCGTGCTGGACGCGGGCACGGCGGGGCTGTTCGTCTGGATAGGGCGGCACTCGAGCAAGAACGAGAAGGTGCAGGCCATGAACCGCGCGCAGGTCTTCCTCAAGGAGCACAAGAGGCCGTGGTGGAGCAAGGTGGGAGACATTGACAGAAACGGTTCACGATGCCACCGTTGTTGGGATGCGAGGTGACACGTTGCTCATATGCCTGCCTTCGTTGCCGTGCAGATCTCCAGAGTGGTGGAGGGCGCCGAGCCGGCCGCCTTCAAGCAGTACTTCGTGGACTGGAGGGACGCGAGCGTCATGCCCGCCGCACTCAACCACGTGTTCTCGGCCAACAGACTCAACGGTAGGTTCGGGCTGCTCGCTGAACAACGCTCTCGACCTGTTCCGGGGGTGTGCGAGGACTTGACGTGAGATTGCACTGTTTGCAGCCGTGATGGAGGAGGCCGCGGAGCTGCCCGCCGAGGAGCTGCGGCGCCTGGTGAAGGCCCAGGGCCCCGCGGTCGGGTTCATGCCCGACAAGGGCACGGGGCACGTGGAGGTGTGGCGCGTGGAGGACTTCGAGCTGCAGCCCGTGCCGAGGGACACGTACGGCAGCTTCTACGGCGGCGACTCGTACGTCGTCAAGTACGACGCGCAGGCCGGCGGCAAGGAGCGCCACGTCATCTACTTCTGGCAGGGCGAGACCAGCTCGCAGGTGAGTCCCACGAGGCGGTGCTGCACTCTACACCGAGGACGACGGCGTGCTCATACGGCCTGGTCTTCCCTCTCCCCCAGGACGAGCGCGCTGCGGCCGCCATGCACTCCGTGCGCCTGGACGACGAGCTGGGCGGGCGCGCCATCCAGGTGCGGGTGGTGCAGGGCCACGAGCCGCGCCACTTCCTCTCCATCTTCCAGGGCCGCATGATCGTCTACCTGGGCGGCCACCACAGCGGCTTCCGCAACGCGCGCGAGGCCAGCATCGACGAGGCGGGCTGCTCGCGGGGCGTGCGCCTGTTCCGCGTGCGCGGCACGTGCACGGAGGACGTGCGCGTGCACCAGGTGCCCGCGCGCACCGAGCACCTCAACTCGGACGACGCCTTCGTGCTCGAGACCCCCAACGAGCTGTTCATATGGTTCGGCCAGGAGTCGAGCCCCGCCGAGCGCCAGGCGGCCGTGGCGGCGGCCAAGCTCGTGGCGCCCGGCCGGCAGCCCAAGCAGGTCAACGAGGGCTCCGAGCCGGACGCCCTGTGGAACGCGCTGGGCGGCCCCGGCGAGTACACGTACTCGGGCCACCACTCCCAGCACCAGCACATGCCGGCCAGGCTGTTCCACTGCCAGATCACCGTGCGCGGCAAGTTCAGAGTCAACGAAGTCGACAACTACAGCCAAGACGTAAGTAGCGTCCCACACTTAGCCACTCGCTCTGGGAGCCGGGAAAACAGATTTTCCTGGATTTACAATATTTTATATTTTTATTTGATAGGATTTGGCCGAAGATGATGTGATGGTCTTGGATTCTGGTGATGAAGTCTACGTGTGGGTTGGTAACACGGCATCCCAAAGAGAAAAGGAACTGAGCTTGAAAATGGCTGAGGTAAATTCCATACATATTGTTGACATGTAGGGAAATTCATATTATAAGATATTTCAAATTTGAACGTCTCATTTTGTTTCAGGATTACCTTAAGATGTCTCCTATACACAGACACAGAGCAACCATCATCCAAATCAAACAAAATGAAGAACCAGCAGGCTTTACTACCCTATTCCCTGAATGGGATGAGGACTTCTGGCAGGTACAAAAAAGAAATAAGTAGATGAGTAATTGTAGTGCACTAACTGAATTTGAGCTGATTTATGTGGAATATGAATGTAAATATCCTAAATTTGCCTGTGCAGATGCTATGCCGCATGCTTATTGTTGTGCATGTTAGTGTTCCTGTTTTGCTAATAAAAATGTGTAATGTTGAAAGAACTTTTATAGATTTTTTTTT